CGATTGCCTACAACTTAGAATTGAGGCAGACAGGGTACAGGTAAAAAGAAGGGAGCAAAAGCACCCAAATAAGAAGCCTAGAAGGGCACACACTCTTTGTATCACGAATGTTTAGGGACTAGCATCATAATTTCTAATGTCTGAATATTATTTCTCTTTATTCTACCAACTCCTCCCATTCTGTTGTTCCACGTAAAGCATCCTCCTAGGGGCTGAGATGATGACCTCCTTCTGTTGGCCATCAGTGCAGGAGCTATTATCTGGTTGTTGTTTATTTACAAAATCTTCTTTTAAAAACTAATTGCTGCAATATCAGAGACTTTAAAATGTTTCAAATCTCACTTTATAAATATGAAAATGGGACAAAAAAAAAAAAAAAAAACTCTGAATTTCCTCCTAACCTAGGATGTGCAGAGAGGACAATCCAATGAAGACCTGCCTTGTCACATCCAATAGAGCAACTGTAGAAGCAATTTGTTACAAGCAGATGGATAGTTGAACACCAAAAAGGATGATAAACTAGAAAGAAATTAGATATTGAAATCAATTTCTTTTAGGCTTACCATGTAACTTCAGTTTCACACAAACAATTATATCTGAAGAAATCGGAAAAAAATGCCGTACTAAGATGGGTGCCCGTGAAAACAGAACTTTACACATGCTATAGCCTTTATAGTCACCATTTACTTGATTGGTCCAAATATTTATAGTTCATTGTTATGACTGCCAAAACTGGCAACCACAAGGATTGTTGTCTCAATTAGGACAGTAAACAGATTGTCTCTTTTTTTAATGAAAAAATCTAAAATGTAATACTTCACAGTTTAACGTTTATTCATCTAAACGAGCTAAAAAATAATGGTGCGACATCTGTTCGAGAGGCATTGGTACCTCAAATTTTGGCTGCCTCCCCACCAATTTGGTTGTTGTTTTAAAAAATGAAGAATAGGAGGGGGTACTGTCATCAAAAAATCTTCTGGCATGTAAAGTATCTTATTTTTCTTGAAATAAGAATCTCATGTCTGTTGCTAGGGCTAAAAAAAAAAATTGTATAATGAGAAGGCACTATGCTGAATACTGCTGCAGTTCAATTGTTTTAAATAAATTTACTGACCCATTATGGATATTTTCACACTGGTATAGTTCTTTAGGTGGCTCTCTCAGTTCCCTCTATACTTGCCTGTATAGCTAAAACCTGGACAAACAGTAAGATAGCTTCTGTAGGTATTGAATTCATCTGCTACGGTTTTTACTGTGGGTTCCACTGATTCTAGGTATGTTGTCAATGGAAGATATCTAGCAAATATCATTCTAGCCATGCTGCATTGGAGCAATTCTAATAAGAGAAGGCGGTGCCGCTAAAGGAGAAGTGGTAAGAGTCTCCCCGGAGAAGCCTCAGGTAAGTGGAAAGAAGCATAACTGTTGCAAAGAAAAGAATATAAAGTTATTCTAGATGGTCTCTGCCTCAACAACCTTATGTTATGGATAAAACACATTAAAATTTTATAAGTTTAATTTCTAGAAGTTTATTTCTGATGCTTACCTAAAGCGCAATTCACTCCAGTGAAATATTACTATATAATTTTAGAATCTGGAAATATTCACATAAATTCAGTATTTAGTATTCACATAAATATAAACACTCTAATAAAAATTTAGTTTTATTTTCATTTGGAGTGACAGTGTATGCTAAATTGGATTTAAAATGTTGACTATGGTTTTTAATAATACTAAGAAAAAAAGGGCACATTTAATTTCCTAGAAAAGAGCAATATCTATGTTCTACAGCAACCATAATCCTAGTTCTCTTGACTTTAAAGAGAACCAGAATGAAACATATACATATTCCAAAACAACCAATAACCATAAACACTAAATGCTGAGTTGATCAATATTGTGATTTAAAAATTTTATTTATGAATTTCAACCAATTTTTGAGCTTCTACTACATGCAAACTACTGTGCCAGGCTCTGAGAAGACTAAAGAAAAAATTAACTTAGATTTTAACATGCACTTACTAAGTATGTGCAGATTATGACACTATTAGAATCACAGAAATTAGTAAGAACATACTCTCAGGATTTTACAATCATTGGTTGGGGTGGGAGCATCTCTTCTGTCTACATAAAAAATGTGTAAGATAGAAAATCTTGAAGTATTTTGCCACCTTAAAACAACAACAAACTCTATTTTGATAATAAAATAGGCAGAGGTTTTTTTTTTCCCCCATGAATTTCTACTTGAAATATTTAAAGTATCTCCTCTTATCAAAGGAATTTATATATTTTTTACCTATACCTAAACATATATGCAAAATAAGAACCAGCAGTCCTTCAACCTTCATTCATGGTATTCCACAGGCTGTATTTTAAGTCTGTGGCATTAGCTGAAATCTATTCCACAGAATATGTTAACAAATAGATTCTAACGTTCTGTAAAGTCATTATAATTTTTCTGTTTTTGTCACCTAAACTACTGTGAACAGTGAATTATTAGGGGAAGGGGGAAACCCACGCCTAAAATTTTTGTCTGGTGCCAGTCTCATATTTATGCCAAACACCACTTGTGGTTCAAAAGTGTGGTCCGCTGAAACAGCAGGCCGGATATCGCTTCTATGTCTTCAAAGATTCAAACCAGACTTTCAGTCTGGGATTCCTCTACAGAGGACTGGCTGCTTCTCAGTTAATGTGAGTTCACAAAATCTGTATTTCACAAAAACAGTGTTGTGTAAACATACATTGTCCCACTTTACCTGCTATTTATTAAATTCAAAGAGTTTAGCCTTTGGCATTTACGGTTCTCTGCGGTCATCAATCAGAATCGACTTGATAGCAACAGGTTTGATTTTTTTGGTTTTGGGGGTCATCAAAGTCAATCAGTCATACAAATGGGCAGTGACTCAAAATAGCAATTAAACTAGGCAAGGAAACTTCCCTATAATCATACTATATTTTGACTATTATTTATTAGGATCAGAAACTTTTTTTTTTTTTTCCCAAAAGCACATCTCAAGAGTAAAACAGGATGATAAAGATTTGTCAGGATGAATTTTCAAACATTTCCAAGAGTACAGTCGTTTATTTTAAATACCTGAAACTGTGTCATATATATCTCAATTGGCTAGACGTCCAATAAACCATTATTACATATCCTCCCATCTAAATTATCACTAAAAACTAGAAATGAGCTTCATTTAAAATGACTGTTTTTAACACCATATGGGAGGGGAAATAGCTAAATGAAAATTGTTCACGTAAATGTGATGGGAGTGGGGGAAGGCAGTATTTCTTGACATGTGGCATGTCACTCAGGAAAGGAAAAGGCCCATCATATCCAAAATGCCAGCTTGGATATCCCCTTGCCTCCCACTTCATGAACAGACACACCACATGGCACTAAATGCTGCAACCTTTCCTAAAAATGCCACTTGGATTGGTCAGCTGTGGTGAGTGTTCAGGAACTCTTGGACTGTCTCCTGAGTTTGTGATCTGAAGGGGAAGAATCCAGCAGATAACACTGGCTGAATTTTGTCCTTAGTTGTTTGGCATAAATGACCTGTGGGGATATTGGAACCTTTGGCTGTTTTCACACTGATGAAATAAATCATGTTACATGAAAAAATTCAACAGAAAATAATGCTATACAATCATATTCAACTATCTTCAAAAGTACCAAAGAATATCTTTTTTAGAAACTGTGCTTATAAAGTCCTCTGTATTACCAGGGTATTTATCAAAACATTCTTCTCTTGGCCAGTATGGAAACAATCTTAACATTTTATTTTATTCTTCATAGGTACAATGCATATACAATAATACTTTGTGACAATGTTCATTTTCTAGGCATTTTTATACACTATAGTAGCTGACAACTCTACTGTGGACACATTTCCCCATCTTCTAAGCTTTATGTGTTTTAAAAATAAAGTAAAAAAAAAAAAAATAGTACCAGTAAAAACTACTGAATATCTTGGTCATTATGCTCTAACAAACCAATACACCTTGATAAAAGTATACGAACAGAAAACTACACAAGAGTAATACGAGACATGTATTTTTCTTCCACTATTTAATTTCCACTGAAGAGTTCTAATTTAAGGGACAAATGTAATTTTTAAAAACAACTTGGTATCGTTCTGATTTAAGAGATAACCAAAGAAAAACGATTCTGGGTAGATGGAACTTCTTCTATTACGGCTGTATGAAAAAGACTGCACAATTAAAAGACAGATTGTTACATATCTCCCTAACAAGAGGGGCAAACTAATACTGCAAGCAGCCAGAACAACGTAATTAAAATAGAATTCCAAAGTTTATATTAACAGAGTAATAAGTTAATTAAAATCAAGATCAACTGAACTTTCTATTTACACCACTTCAGAAAGCCCAAGAGGAAAGGAGCTCTATTTTAGAGACATATGTGACTCTTTGAGCTTCTGTCATCCAGGTGCCACTTCTAATGGAGCACATGTGCACTGAACAGTTGGCAAAGAAGGAAAAAGATTACTACTGTAGATGTATGTGCAGATAGTCTCTCTAATGATATAAAATATGTCTGGAGAAAAAGCAGGGCTTCTTTGTAAAATGAAAATTTTCCCATGACTTTTGTTCCTTCTTAGGCTCTGAATGTGATTTGAGTATGTTTCTGTAAATGAGGAATACGTACTTTTACTTATCATGCACACAGAAAGAAAAATAGATTTAGTAATCCGTAAGTGATGGAGTTCTACATATGAATTGTTAAGACTCTGAGGAATTTAGGATCTGTTTTCTGTTTTATTTAAATGCACCATGTATAGACTGCCTGTCAAAGTAGAAAGATTTATAAAGACACCAGAAGCATATATTTTACCACATTTCTGGGTAAGGCTTTTTTCTTGATATCCTATGCAATTAAAAAGATATTTCTGCAAGCTGAAAAGAATTCAAGATGTTGCAGTTTCAGTACTTCAGAAAGTACTGGTCCCAAGAGGTGCTTTTATAAAATTATTTCTCTTTTATGTATTGCTTGCTGCACTGCTAATCTTCATCTCGTTCCAGATCAGGATCAACATCCATGGACAGTCTGAGATAAAAGAAAGCATAGAAAGCCAGCAGGAGAGCCCATATAGCTGCAAGAACGAGGCCAACTTCCTGGGGAAGAAAAAAATAGTAAGACTTGAAATTAATGAAAAGAGATTGGTCAGGTTATCAGTTTCATCAGATAAAATAAACTCAGATATAATTCTTTAGTCTATAATGAATAATTTGAAGTTAACTGTCACAATTTTTGTTTAAAATTTTTGCCATTAAAGAAAGAAGCTTATTTTGCACTTGACAATACCTAGTGGAACTGCAAGTACATCAGTGGGTGATTTATTTCTATTATTTCTATTTAATTTTATTATTTATGGTTTTCTAACTGTAAAATTCAAATTCATCATTTTAATATATTTTCACAGTTCGGTGAAAAATTCTAAGTGAAAACAATATAGTTTGTGCCTACGGAGTTTATCTGCTCTCTATTTGAGTACATTTAACTTTATTTGTTGTTTTAATAAATTTATTATTAGTTATAGCATTTGAACATAGATTTTTTTAAACTTTATTTTGTCACTTTTTTCTAATTGAAAGAAACTGTTATTATAACCAGTTTCTAAATTATATCTCTGTAAACATCCCTATTAAATGTGACTATTGTGAAATTCTAATTTTTAACTTCTAAATTCCATAACTTATAATAGGGGAGAACAAACTGAGTACTCTTAACTCATATAGAATCATACAGCATAATTTATCTCAACTGTGCAGGATGGTTCTGTGAAGGATGATGATTTGATGTAGATTAATCAATTACATAGAAATAATGGCCAAAAATAATTACTATGTAAATGGTAAAATTAATATTATTTCTCAGAAAGTCTATAAATTTCTTCTACATATATATATATATATACACACACAGACACACATATATATATACACACACAACATCAAGGAACATTCTCAATATTAATATATCATTTAGCTAAGGAGAAAAAAAGGGCAAATAGTGTCACCTCAGGATCCTGAAGGCTTAATAGTCCCTTCTAATTTTTACTGGTATACCACACCTATTACCTGGAATTCTTTTATGGAGAAGAAATTCATTTGCATTTACATGAATATATTTTACATTTTATAAGACTATAAAATCAACAATTCAACACATGCCATCTAATAAACTTTAAAAAACATTAAAATAAATTTGGTTTATTGTGAACGTGGAATTTTAACCTGAATGTTGAAATTGAAAATGGACACTTCATACAGATTTTTAGCTTCATAATTTCATTTATCTATATTTACAAACTATGAAAATAAATATTAATAAAAGCCATGGGCTGAAAACACAGTGTCAGCTATTTTTGTAAGATCTGATTTTTTAAAAATCTAATACATTAATATAATGTCAAATGAAAGTGAATATTTCTTTGTTGCAGTTGGAACACTTTGGCATCTCGAAAGGGCACGGCAGCATCAGACAGGTTTCATTTATTTTCTTATATCCACAGCTGTGCTCCCAGACCCATCTGGTTACACAGCTACTAATTTTAAGAGGATGTAATAAACAAGTGACACACAACTGCAAACTCCATCTGTTCTGTATAGTGGACGACAAAACTGTTAAGCAGCAGTAACCATTCATACGAGCTTAATGCAGATACAAAGTTTTTACTCTTGATTGGAGGCCATGATTCTCATCTCCTTGACAGTCAACTCTAATTGCTGCTTTTCAGCTCCTCCTTCTTATCCTTTAAAATGACTCTGTATCATCTTTACATTTCTAGAATATCCACAGGCATGAAAAAGGGTTTTAGGGTAGGTAGCAAAGAACATTCAAAGACTATAGCTTCAAAGGATCCATTAATTCAATTAAGTCTATTCAACATATGGTGTGGGTGGCATACGAAGTACTGGTTGGGGAGAGACAGCAAATTATACTCTTTAAAATGTCCATGTTTTATTAAGGATACAAGCATTGTGGAGGCAGAATATTTGGAGGGTTAAAACAACTTTAAATTTTGAAAATACTGCTTTCAGGATTCTGCTGATACCAATCATAACTTAGAGACCTAGAGGCATTTATTACGCTTCCCCACCCCTTCCATTTTTAATTTTAAATCAGAAAGAACAAAAAAGAACATAACTTTTCAAGCTGGCTCATCCCAAGAGGCTGTTGAGAGGATCTGGTTGATACCTGAGTATTTTATTTACTTAAAATAAAAATTAAATTTTTGATTCTTATCTTTAGTATACCTCTCAAATAAACCCTCAAAGAAATGAATAAATGAACGAATGATCAAATATCTATTACCTTTTTTCTTTTAAATACTAGGGAACACAGGTATTTGGCCTTCTAAAAAAATATATTAGTGATATTATAATTCTTTAGAAATAATCTCCTAAATGAACAGCAACCAAACAGCAAACGTTAGATGTTCAAATATTTTTGAGGTGGCACTCATTTCATTAATGGATCTTAAATTACAGTATTTTATTTATATGTACAAGACAGAATGAAATAAAATAGCTTTTCCATAGAAATTAATTCTAGATTTTAGCACAATCATATTTACTTTCCTGGAATCATTAACTACTCCCCGAAACATTTTATATTACACGTTTACAAAAAGGCACTAAAAGCCTTTGAGGGTAAAGGCCCTATTGCACAGTTCTTCATATCTCTAGCCCATGATTTATCAATCAATATTGTTCATTTGATAAGATAACTAAATCCAGAAGTGATTTCTTATGTAAGTTCCTCCAAGATGATCATGTTTAATTCACCTTTCTATCCACAGGCTCTAGAACATTACAACACTTATAATAGTTTCTAAATAAATGATGAAGGAATAAATAAAATTTATATGATCTTTATAAAGGTATATTAAAATAATATAATGCTTTTTAAACTTTACAATACTAATACTCACAATACTATCTCCATAGCAAAACTGTGAACATTTTGTAAGGGATGATATAGTCACATAATACAGACTTAGTTGAAGTAGGGGATCTTCAGACCAAAGAAAAACATCCTAAGGAAGTCTTATTTACATAAACTAGAAATGGCTAATTTGAAAAACGTTTTCTCAATCAACTGACAATTCATAAATGCCTCCTACTGCTAAGGTTAATGTTTGAAGTGTTTTTAATGTATTATTTAACTTTCCTATCAACAGTATGGGAGCCCTGGTGGTGTAGTGGTTAAGAGCTCAGTTGCTAACCAAAAGGTAGGTAGTTCAAATCCACCAGCTGCTCCTTGGAAATCCTATGAGGCAGTTCTACTCTGTCCTATAGGGTTGCTATGAGTCGGAACCAACTTGACAGCACCTAACAACAACAACAACAGTACGAATAAATCTCCATTTTATAAATGTGCCAGCTCAGATTCAGCTAGCTCATGGCAGGAGTAAGGGACTAGAGAGATGTGATATTATATCTTCTTATCTTGTGTTCGGTGTTGTTATTTTTCTATTCCATACAACTGTTCATACTTTTTGTACATTTAAATTATTTTTAAGGACATAACTATGATTCATTCTAAAGAATAGTAAAGTGATAACATATTACAATATTATGGTCATCCTTGATCAACTAGATAAGAGTCAAACATGTGTGATGTTCCTAAGTCCTTAGTTGCTTCTCTGACATTATCAATATGGATAAAATCACTCACTGGGGAAATTAAAAAACATTAAATGGCAATTGCTGAAAGAAACTTCGCTATTTAAAATCCTATGCCAAAATGACAAGGCAATCAAAGTCTGACAGGGCAAACTAATTAGTATGCCGGTTTTAAAATGTAAAACACCTCCATGATTCTGATTCTAGAAAGTTTCTTATCATTTTAATGGGCTCTTCACATACATTTTCAAGCAAAGTAAACAATATTTAAAGTTAAGTTCCTTGTTTTCCACAAGTTGACAACTCAAAATGATATGCTAGCTTATTAAATAGGAGTTATCTTCTGATGTCAGTTAGAAACTCTTCTGTACATACTTTAAATTATAAATGAAATCTAAGAATTTTTTCTCACAAATTAAAAGACAAATAAATTCTACATTTTTTAAAACATATGTATTAGATAACTGTACTATAAGATAGACTTTACCTCATACTGGGAACATAGTTATTTCCCCAAATTAAAAAAAAAAAAAAATTATATGAGCAAGTAAAAAAGATTGTTTAAGAAAACAGTATATAAATAAATGAATGGCTGTACTGTTATCTCAAATTCTAACATATAGCTCTTCAGTATATTGTGCCACAAGTAGGTTTTGCTACCTCAATTTTTTTCTAAAAAAAAAAACAACTACTCATTGTAAAAGGTAAAAGTAAGTGACATATTGCCTTGGAGGAAAATAGCAAGTAATGCTCTCACTTCAAGAGACAATCGGCAAGTAACTAAACATAAAATTAAAAAATTAAGCATTGCTTTTAGAAAGGTCATGTCATGGTGATATTTTTTAAAGGATGAGTGAAATTTCAGAGGAAATTAGAAAAAAACTTCAAAAGATTTATCATCTCTCTTAAACAAAAAGGCAGTCTACTTTTTCTCATTAAAAACTGACACACAGCACTAACTGAAGAGATTATGTTGTGAAAACATACCGCATCACACGGCAATGCTTGATCAAAATCAGCAATCAGGAGCAAAAAGGAGGCAGTGTTTCGTGATCATAATAGCAAATTCTGGAAGACAACCAAATATATCATCTGGCAGTTCAACAGCTGTTACAGCTTGGTAGTAATACCTTGGCATTTGCTATAAGCTATAACTTAGAATAATTGATTTTTCATCTGCCAGATAAAAAACAAAATCTCCTTTTAACATTTTAATATTTAAATAAACTGTAAGTACTGGTCATTTTTATTTTACACATTTGACAGTAGGGCTGCCAAATTAATTTTTCTATCAGTAGTTTAATTTGATTCTAAATACTTGGCAAAGAATAACATGGGTAATAATATAAATGTAATTTTGCTCAACTTCATTGTATTAGCACATTGGATTAATATCTGCTAACATTATTGTTAGTTACATTTATCCCTGTTAAGCAGTTAAAATATCAGTTTTCTAAAAGAAGAAGTTCGGGAACATCATCAGAATTTCATCATAGAGAGTACGAACAACGATAATAACATATACAGAATAAAATTTCATATAACAATGATCTAAGTATATATAATAACAACTAAAATTTCAATAATTATAAAGCATAATTTACTGAAAATGAGAGTTTTGGCTAAGATATTATAAATCACTGAAATGTTTGAACAATATACACAGTAGCAAGTAAAAGCAATATATAAATGGCAACTTTAAGTATAACTGGTTGTCTTAAGTGACACTGTGTTAAACAATTTTAAGATCTTTTAAAATCTCAAGATAGGAACAATGTTTTTCATTAAGTGAATTCTTTATAAAAACCTTTGATTCTGGCAGTCTACTTAGATTTTGAAATGTCATGAAACACTTAGAATTCAACATTTATGCAATCCAGTTTTAGAAAATGAAATGGCATGCATATATCAAATTTTAAAGTTATTAAATACAGGTCTACCTTTATGCCTATTGCTGTTTTCTTTGCTTCTGCTTTTAATTTGGTTGCTCGTAAAATAGGTTTGGTTTTTTTATAATCCTGTTTACCTAGAAAGAAATAGTTTCAGACAATAAGTTATGCTTATAGATAATTCAAGTCTAACAGCCATCTGAAATGTCAAAGGATGTTTAAATAGAGTAAAACAGACACACAGAGTTGCAAAGTAGTTCCCAGTTGTGGAAACCATAAACTTGTCACCCTAAGGTCAACTTTTCCTCCTCTCTTACTTTTTCAGGAAGAAGATTCTGACATACATCTTTCATTTGATGTGCAGTGAATATCAAAAAAAGATAAAAACTTACTTTAGAGAATAAGAAATTTAGACAGAGTAAAACTTTTGGAAATATTTGGGAACAAATGCGTAAACATTATACTTAAGATCCCATTAATATGTAAAGTTAACTTTGTGTTCATAATTGAAGAATAACAGCTCATTATAAACTTATTTTATAATGGGTATATTAAGTATTCAAATAATCAATTTATCCCCAAGTTTTCTCAAAGTAAGAGACTAAAGAAAGAATCTGTAGATAATGAACTTTTATTCCCTGAATTCACCAAAAAAATGTGTATTTAACTTTTGTATTCTGTTGACAGGGCAGAATAAATATGGCTAGATAAAAGACATATGAGAGCTACATTTAGATATTAGTTTCAACATTCTCTACCACATTTTATAGCCAAAAATGAACAAAACTGAATTAATGTCACCAAATTTCCTTTTTTTGTGAACCATCTGGCAAACCTACTAATGATAACAAAAGAGCTATTACACAGTCTGAGGAGAAAATGAATTTAACAACAACAAAAGCACTGGCTTGAATAATATACTATTTTGTTGACCAAACTCTTAAGTAAGATTTGGGTCAAATGAGTCTCAAATGTAACATGTTATCATGTTATTCTGAGTGGGAGTTAATATATGACCATATAATCTCTTTGGCTATTTTATATTCTCCTTATTTTCCCTGTTGTTTCCATCTTATTCCCTTTCCTATCAATGACCATGTTTCCAAAACTTACTGCTACATTTCCTTTATGTAAATAATACAACTTCTAACCTTAATTTCCATACCTTCTTCACACTGAAATAAATATGAAAACAGATGATCTAAAGTATATCATAAAAATTTAATGTGCAATATATTTATTTATGTCTGCTAATAATTCAAAAGTACCTTCATAATACCATATCAATTTTTAGAATTAGAAATGGCAGGGAGGAGTGAGTCAAACGAATGGGAGTAATGAAGAAATACTACATTAGTGTTCACCAAACACATACAAGTGTGTCTTTAGCTGAAGAGTCATGTATTTTTCTTTAAAGAAACAGTGAATACTATTTCCTTAACCTTAACTGCTATTGTACAGCAGTCTTTCTGGATCTATGAGTATTGAGAAGCTTAATAAATATTATTTGATGATGGAGTTTAATGATCCAGAAATGAGCGAACTGTAAAAATGTGTATCAAATGATCTAAATTTAAATTATGAAATGAATAAAATACAGAAAAATATTACTCTGTCCCATTTTAAATTAGTAACATTTAATTTTGCTGAAAAGACTCTGACAAGTGTTCACTCTGATTTCACATCTCAACAGTTGACCTATTAATGTCACTATTCCTGCTGAGGTATAAACAGTTCAGAACAATGAAAATGGTGACACATCAAATGCCTCCACTCAGAGTTACAAAGGAAGTTTCTAATGAGAATCAAAAAAGAAATTTGAAGAACATAGATTTGAGGCCAAAAAGTCATTTCTTGTTTTATCCTACTCATACCCTATGATAAACTCTGAGTGCAATGTGGAAAAAAACAAACAAATGAAAAAGGATTATCTTAACCCATGTTGCATACAGATATACAATCTTTTTGATAATGCGTCTATCATAAAACAAATTCAAATATACCTGAAAGAATCAACGTTAAAGTGAGAATTTATTACTCTACTTCAAATACCATACAACCATTGGTTAAATAATGTATTTTATTTCCATTCAACCCCTATATTCTCTTAGATAATAATAATTCCACATTTAGAGTCGATATGAACATATGAAACCATACTGATAATAAATAAATGGCTTCAAAAATTATTGTACACCTGGTAGTTCTCCAAACAGTACATCTGTCATTAATTTAGCATTCTCCTTGCTGACTATGATATCCAAAATTATATAATGCAAAATGTGGTTTTCAGTCTACTAAGCACAAACGTTTGGAGGGGCATCTGTTAAGTTCTTTATAACTAACTAAAACCAGATCTTTCCATCACACTCAAAGAGATTTTCAACATTTTAATTTTTTATGGCTTCAAGAAAGATACCTGTGGCCAAAGGATTGTAAAAATACATATAAAATACAAAACGTCCCTGCCTTCCAAGTTCTTAACACATGCAGAAAAAAATATTTAGATTATCGAGATTTTATATACAGACTGTTTTCTTGGGCATAACTTGGTCTGATTTTGGTTTTATGAATAATGCAATAACCAAAGAAGTTACCTGGCAATTGCTCAATAAACTTGATGTGAAGAGAAAAACTTGGGCCTCAATTATCTAGTTTCTTTATCCTTGTCATGGATTGAATTGTGTCCCCCCAAAATATCTGTCACTTGGCTGGGACATGATTCCCAGTATTGTATAATGGTGTACCATTTTGTAATCTGATGTGATTTCCTTATGTGTTACAGATTCAATCACTATGATCTAATAAGATGGGTTAGCAGCAGTTATACTGATGAGGTATACAAGATTGGATAATATCTTAAGCCAATCTCTTTTGAGATAAAAAGAAGTGAGCAGAGACACATGGGAACCTCATACCACCAAGAAAGCTGTGCTGGAAGCAGAGTACATCCTTTGGACCTGATGTTTCTGCGCAGAGATGCTCCCAGACCAAGGGAAGACTGATGACATGGATCTTCCTCCTGAGCTGAAAGACAGAGAAAGCCTTCTCCTGGAGCGAGCTGATGCCCTGCATTTGGACTTGTAACCTACTGGACTGTGAGAGAATAAACGTCTCTTTGTTAAAGCCATGCACTTGTGGTATTTCTGTTATAGCAGCACTAGATGACTAAGACAATCCTCAATGACACCATTCATTACATAATTCCTGTATTTTCATTCCCTGTAACATAGTGAGGAGTCCCTGGGTGGCGCAAACAGTTAAGTGTTCAGCTATTAACGGAAAGGCTGGTGGTTCCAATTCACCCAGAGGTGCCTCAGAAGAAAGTCCTGGCAATCTACTTCTGAAAGGTCACAGCTATTGAAAACGCTATGGAGTGCAGTTCTTCTCTGAAATACATAGGATCGCTATGAGTTGGAATTGACTCAACAGGAACTGATTTTTCTTAATGGCATAATGCAGGTGAAAACAGCTTTTTCTCCTTATCTCCATGCTTCCTTATTGACTGATTTATGCTCTCTCCCTCCAATATAATCCTATCATACTGTTTGTTTCATTTTGTTGAAATTAAGTTTTCCCCCTTTGGTATACAGTTCTATGAATTGTAACACATTCACGTAACTGCTACCATAATCAGGATATAAAATAGTTCAATTACTCCAAAAACTTGCTTGTGCTATCCATTTATAGTCATCCCTCCTCCCATCCATAATTCCTGGCAATCACAAATCTATTGTCTATTTCTACAGTTTTATATTTTCAATGTCATATTAATGGAATATACAGTATTTGATCTTTGATGATGGCTTCTTTCATTCACTCTCCCAAATCCTTTGCCTTTCCGTATAAATTTTAGGATCAGCTTTACATCTACAAAAATTCCTGCTGAGATTTTGATTTGTATTTTCTAAATTTATAGATTAATTTGGAAAGCAGTGACACTTTATTATGGAGAGTCTTCCAGTCTATGAACATGGCATGTCTCATCAATGATTTAGGTCTTGAGTTAGTTTCATCAGCATGTTGTAGTTTTTAGCATACAATTACTGCACACATTTTGTTCGATTTATACCTGAGTTTTTCACTTTTGCGAAAGCTATTGTAAACTGAACAGTCTTAAAAAAAAAACTTGGTTTCAAATTGCTGCTGTGTAGAAATAAGATCAAATGTTGTGTGCTAGCTTGTGTCCTGTGGCATTGCTAAACTCACTTCTTAGTTCTGTAGGTATTTTGTAGATTCCTTGGGATTTTTTAAAGACAAAAATGTCTGTGAAATAGGGACAATTTTATTTCTTCCTTTCAAATCTGTATGCCTTTTATTTCTTTTTCTTACCTTATTGCACTGCCTAAGACTTCCAGTAAGATTGATTAGAAGTGAGAGCGCATATTGTTGTCTTGTTCCCAGTCTTAGTGGGAAAGTATTCAGTCTTTGACCATTAAGTTTGATGTTAGCTCTAGGTTTTTATACAGGTGCTCTTGATCAGGTTAAGGATGTTTCCTTCTATTCCTTGCTTGTGAAAAGCGTTTTTTTAAAATCATGAATGGATATTCTCAAATACTTTTTTATGAATTAATATGATCATTTGTTTTATTCTCTAGATTGTTAATATGGTAGACTACATTGATTGATTTCCAAACATTGAACCAGTACTGCATCCTGGATAAATCACAAATCCCACTTGGTCATGGTGATACACTGACACTGACACAGGACACAGACACACACAGCTGGATTTGATTTGCTAATATTATGGTGCAAATTTTTGCATCTATGTTCATGAGAAAAGTTGGTCTTTTTTGTACTGCTTTTGTCTGGTTTGGTATCAGAGTACCAAAAGGAGTATGTTGGCCTCATAAAAAGAGTTAGGAAGTATTTCCTCCTCCTACGTTTTCTAGAAGATAGTGTGTAGAATTGGTGTTGTTTCTTTTCAAATGTTTTCTAGAATTAGCAAGTGAAATTATCTGGGCCTAGGGGGTTATTGTTTAGAAGGTTCTTAACCATGAATTCTATATGTTTAATACCTATAGGACTATTTAGGTTAACCATTTCATCTTGGGTGCGCTTTGGTAGTTTGTGAATTTGAAGAACTGACTGTTCCTAAGTTGTATAATTTAGTTTCACAGAGCTACTTATAATA